CCCTCCACAAATTTCAAATTCATTTAGGCATAAGCAGGCTTTATTTTCTAACAAAAGAAACACAACAGAACTCAGTTCTAAATATTTATCAGAACGGGACACTGGACTCTATTTTTGGCGAAGCATAGAAGAGCTCAATTACTATTGTGTAGCGCGCAATAATCGCCTTAACGGATTATATTCATACTAAGAGCAACGCATATATATAAAGCTTGGTATATTGTGTCTGAAATGAGCCATAAAATATGAAAGCAAATGGTAATAGGATATGCCTATTAAGGGAAACAGAGTATGTCTAAAAAAAAAATAATCTATGCCTGAAAAGAACGAAGGATGACAGTACAATAAAATATGCCCCAAAAAATTTATGGAAGTAATTGATTGTGAATGTTTGAGAATCTCAATGATTGTTAATTCCATAAGAATAAAACTAAAAGCTAAAATTTTGGTGAATCAGTAAAATGTCTGAATAAAGCCGTAGAGTGTCTTAAAAAATAACAAAAATTATTTGACACCCCATTTAGTAACTACAGTCATGGCCTATATTTCGAAAGAGCTATAGAACATCTGAAACAAATACTCAGAGTATTATAATGCATCTGAAATAAGACATAGAGTATGTCTGTTCATATAAATTTACGGCGTCAAAGACGAAACAATGTATCCGAGAAGGGCTAAGAAATGCGTGAGACAGACAGCCATGGAACATGTCTTAAAGAGCCAGTGAATATCCGAAACTGAGCCTCGTTCCAACCAAAGAAGTTTTCGCCTGTTAGGAAAAACGTTTTACTGTTCCTAAACTGGAATTTTCTTCGATTTTTTAAGGAAAAGTTTTACTGTTCGTAAGCTGACCTTTAATTCTCTTAGGATAAAAAGTTACTATTCTTAAAGTGAACTTTTCATCTCTTTCTTAAGGACAAGTTTAACTGTTCTTAAACTGAACTTTTCTTCTCTTTTTTTTAAAGAACAATTTTTATGTTCATTGCTTGAACTTTTCTCATCTTTCACAAGGAAAAGTTTCTTATGGCATTACAGTTCTTATGGTAAAAGTTTAACTTAGATTCACAGCCACAAATAGCGAATCCGGTCTTGTTTTCACCCCCCGCAGTGAAAGATTGTTACGTGAAGCGATAATTGCCCCCCCTCCCTTCCCCTTTGTATCGGCGAGCGATAGTTTCCTTGCGAGAGAGCGAATGATCATCTATTTTTTTCTGCGATAGAATTAGAGTTAAAAGTGGCCCCGGCAAAAGTATCTCTGTCGGCAGGCAGATCGCTTCGCAAACTGTCGTCAATGGCTCGTTGTCAAACAGCTTAGTGCCTTGCTAAATTATAATGGTCGTACATCCTGTTAATGTACACCGATTCATTATAATTATCCATTAGTGAGGTGTGTATGATAATTGCATTGCAGTTGGAGGTGTCATCGATCCATTCAAATTGTCCCGCTGTTTTGTGTCGGTGATAACTTTTAGTTGGTCTTTTTGTGGGGTGATGTTCGTTACGCTGTTGCTTTTGTGTTCCTGACGTAAAGAGTCTTCTTGAGTTAGTGAATAATGTGTAATAATTGGAAACTTGTTAATTTCTAAATTGTCCATGTGTTTGAAAGTCTTAGCTCTCTTTCTTTCTTTCTCTCTCTCTCTCTCTCTCTCTCTCTCTCTCTCTCTCTCTCTCTCTCTCTCTCTCTCTCTCTCTCTCTCTCTCTCTCTCTCTCTCTCTCTCTCTCTCTCTCTCTCTCTCTCTCTCTCTCTCTTGTCTGTTAGACATTTTTTATATCAAGCTATTTTCTGCTACTTTTTGGACTGTCTCACGAGACATTTAAAGAATCTTCGAACAAAATTTAGAGCATGGGTACTTTATTGAAGCAAAGAGATCACTGGAAAAGTCAGGACCCGTGAGCTGGAGCTCCGTCTACGCTACTCTGTTCATCGCAGCATATAATTAGCCAGCGTGTGCATTGTAGTGTTCCACAGAGCAAAGTGCTACTTTGGTTTTGCACACAAAACTCTAAGACTAATGGTTACTTAAGCCTCGAGTTGTCATGCTGGATAAATATGGGCTTCAATGTACACTCTCTGAGGCCGTCTTGGCGCCTTCTTGCGATAATTACTTACTTACTCCAAGAGAAGACTCGTGTCTTGTCTTTCTCTAAAACTTGGAGAAAAAATAAAGACAGTAAATAATCACATGATCAGGGTACCAGTATCTGGGGACCTGGTATCAGGACACCAGGTATCTGGGGACCTGGTATCCGGACACCAGGTATCCGGACACCAGGTATCCGGACACCAGGCATCTGGGTACCTGGTATCCGGACACCAGGTATCCGGACACCAGGTATCCGGACACCAGGCATCTGGTGTCAGGTATTTTGTGCGGGTGTCAACACTGGTCTGAAGGGAGTCAACGAGAGGGATGAACCGTCTCCAGTGCTGTCCCTCGTTCGCTACCATCCTCGTTTGTACACCTAACTAAGCAATGTACAGTCCGGTACACCGCACCTTGAACTACACACTACATAATGATGGTCTTAATATCCATAGCGTGAAGGGTAGTGTTCGTCCGAGAACAAGGAGCCATTTCTCTTAATTTTCCATAACATACAAAAATACGGTGGACTTAAACGGTCGAACGCCCGTAGCCTTGCCAACCTACACATAGAAAATGGTGATATTTTGAGCCGTTACTTTTAATAGCACACCTTATTTTATACGTTAGCGGGATCATAGCGTACATAATGAGGAGCCTTAGTTGAGAGTCTATGGGTCGTCGGGGCTGGTCCTTGACACACAGAGACCAGCAAGACACAGAGTCTCACTGGTGTCTGTGCCAGACATAGCTCACCTATATGTGAGAGGCAGCGTTGAGTGGCAGCTTCTAAAGGTCTTATTTTTTTGTAGTAGTCGTAGATAGTCGTAGTTGTCGTAGATAGTCGTAGAAGTCTTAGATAAATGTAGTCGTAGATAGTCGTAGTAGATGAATGTAATGACTATATTACCATTTATATTTTGTAATATTTACTGTTAAACCTGTGTGTTGCGTTAGCTTCGACTCGTCTTCCTTTCTCATTTTATTTATTTACAACTCGTCTATTGAAGCAGGTTAGCTTTCATATGTTTCCTCGTTCTGATATTCCAAACTTCGAATATGTTTCTTGTATTTCTGTGTTTAGTCGTAGCTCAGTCCTTTCAGTTCCTACTACTGAACCTTTTAACCCAATTACATTTATTTGTTTAAATTTCGATTGAAGGTTCTATTCCGAATACTGCTCACTCACAACAGGTCACACATAGGATGTATCTGATGTTGTATATGAGTTATATATTGAATGTTGTATATTGGTTGTACAAAGCGTTTTATAGCCAATGTTTTCCATTTTTTTTTGTTAGACTATCCGGACGTTTGCCAGGATGGTGTGCGCTGATGACAATATTCTCCGGGGTGCGGTTTTGGTTATATAATCATGTAGTGTCACGGGGAGAGGAAAGGTCATGACCCAGAACAACATGGATTAAATGTTCTACACTAAAAGCAGAGACTCCAGCTGAATATTCCCAGTTGTTTTGATGAGTTTTGTGTGTGTGCGTGTGTGTGTGTGCGTGCGTGCGTGTGTAAACTTGCCTAGTTGTGCTTGCGGGGGGGTTAAACTATGGCTCTTTGGTCCCGCCTCTCAACTGTCAATCAACTGAGGTTCCTGAGCCTACTGGGCTCTATCATATCTACACTTAAAACTGTGTATGGAGTCAGCCTCCACCACATCACTGCCTAATGCATTCCATTCGTTAATTACTCTGACACTTTAAAAAAAATTAATGTGTCTGTGGCTCATTTGGGTACTAGGTTTCCACCTGTGTTCCCCTTGTTCGTGTCCCGCCAGTGCTAAAGAGTTTATTTTTGTCCACCTTGTGTGTGTGTGTGTGCAGTTTCATTAATTCTTAATTTCCTTTCATTCTTATATATGAAACGAGTTAAATTGGCGAGGATGTCGCAGCAATATCTATGCCCTTCTACAAATAATATAAACTACATGCAGAATGAGTGTATTAATCAATCGATAACTCGAAAAGCGGGGGTTGAAGAGTTGAAGCTCGACCCTAAAGGTTGATCTAAGTGTGTATATAAGTGAGTTCACTTACATATGCGCACGGACACCACGAAGCCCATCTTCACTTAACTCCAGATGAATCCCAATTGAAGCTGGTAAATTTCAGACTAGTCGCAGAAAAGAAAGGTATGAGTTCCAAGAAATGACTAGAGGGTCTGACCCTCGGGCCACTGGAGAATAAAAAATAAAAGAGCCATGATCACGTCGTACAAAATCCTGGCAATATTCGAGAAGGAGAACCCGTTCAACAGCTCAAGAGAAATGAACTAGGGAGTAAAGGAGTTGAGGAATACATTACATAGACTCAAAAGCTGGTGCGGCAAAATCCAAACGTTTCCGGAATACAAAACCACCAGTCGATCACAGGCAAAGGCGTGACCCAAGAACTGAAGCTCATCTAAACGAGCAAGACCATCCTCCTCAAGTTCTCACCACTAGCGAGCAACTAGTCTCAAGTGCACTCAACACACGCACTTAACCCTCTTTAATACCCCGGGGGAGGGGGGTAGGGGGAAGTATGCAACTATTTGTTGGACCTGGACGCTCCATGTATTTCCACAAATACAGTCCCAGGGGCAAAGTACACAAGGCTATTTTATTGTTTAGGGGAGAGGGGCGTGCAAGTGAACTGTTACAGCCAGCAAGTGGTGGGGTGTGTGTGTGTGTGTGTGTGTGTGTGTTGGGTTTACGTCCCTTGCTCTATAGTCAAGGAGGAGCGCTAGAGTTTTTGTCCTACTTGTATAGAGCCTCTGGGGGGTATTGTATAGCATGGGGGAGTGGAGGGGGACACTGTAGAGGTGAATGGAAGTGGAATGGACAGTGTAGAAGAATTTAGTAGTTTTGTGACTTATTCGGCCTTTGAATAGTTCATGGACCTATATATGTATATATGGATATGTTATAGGTTAGTATCTGTCAATTTAACAGTTGTATTTGTCCCTTCAACAGTTGTATATGTCACCTCAACAGTTGTATCTGTCAATTCAACAGTTGTATTTGTCCCTTCAACAGTTGTATATGTCACCTCAACAGTTGTATCTGTTACCTCAACAGTTGTATCTGTTACCTCAACAGTTGTATCTGTCACCTCAACCGTTGTATCTGTTCCCTCAACAGTTGTATCTGTCACCTCAACAGTTGTATCTGTCACCTCAACAGTTGTATCTGTCACCTCAACAGTTGTATCTGTCACCTCAACAGTTGTATCTGTCCCCTCAACCGTTGTATCTGACACCTCAACAGTTGTATCTGTCACCTCAACAGTTGTATCTGTTACCTCAACAGTTGTATCTGTCACCTCAACAGTTGTATCTGTCACCTCAACAGTTGTATCTGTTACCTCAACAGTTATATCTGTCACCTCAACAGCTGTATCTGTCACCTCAACAGTTGTATCTGTCACCTCAACAGTTGTATCTGTTACCTCAACAGTTGTATCTGTCACCTCAACAGTTGTATCTGTCACCTCAACAGTTGTATCTGTCCCCTCAACCGTTGTATCTGTTCCATCAACAGTTGTATCTGTCCCCTCAACAGTTGTATCTGTCACCTCAACAGTTGTATCTGTCACCTCAACAGTTGTATCTGTTACCTCAACAGTTGTATCTGTCCCCTCAACCGTTGTATCTGTTCCATCAACAGTTGTATCTGTCCCCTCAACAGTTGTGTCTGTCACCTCAACAGTTGTATCTGTCACCTCAACAGTTGTATCTGTCACCTCAACAGTTGTATCTGTCACCTCAACAGTTGTATCTGTTACCTCAACAGTTGTATCTGTCACCTCAACAGTTGTATCTGTCACCTCAACAGTTGTATCTGTTACCTCAACAGTTATATCTGTCACCTCAACAGCTGTATCTGTCACCTCAACAGTTGTATCTGTCACCTCAACAGTTGTATCTGTTACCTCAACAGTTATATCTGTCACCTCAACAGTTATATGTCACCTCAACAGCTGTATCTGTCACCTCAACAGTTGTATCTGTCACCTCAACAGTTGTATCTGTTACCTCAACAGTTATATCTGTCACCTCAACAGTTATATCTGTCACCTCAACAGCTGTATCTGTCCCCCTCAACAGTTATATCTGTCACCTCAACAGTTGTATCTGTAACCTCAACAGTTGTATCTGTCCCCTCAACCGTTGTATCTGTAACCTCAACAGTTGTATCTGTCACCTCAACCGTTGTATCTGTCCCCTCAACCGTTGTATCTGTAACCTCAACAGTTGTATCTGTAACCTCAACAGTTGTATCTGTAACCTCAACAGTTGTATCTGTCACCTCAACCGTTGTATCTGTCCCCTCAACAGTTGTATCTGTCACCTCAACAGTTATATCTGTCACCTCAACAGCTGTATCTGTCCCCCTCAACAGTTATATCTGTCACCTCAACAGTTGTATCTGTAACCTCAACAGTTGTATCTGTCCCCTCAACAGTTGTATCTGTCACCTCAACAGTTGTATCTGTTACCTCAACAGTTGTATCTGTCACCTCAACAGTTGTATCTGTCACCTCAACAGTTGTATCTGTCACCTCAACCGTTGTATCTGTCACCTCAACAGTTGTATCTGTTACCTCAACAGTTGTATCTGTCACCTCAACAGTTGTATCTGTCACCTCAACAGTTGTATCTGTCACCTCAACCGTTGTATCTGTCACCTCAACAGCTGTATCTGTTCCCTCAACAGTTGTATCTGTCACCTCAACAGTTATATCTGTCACCTCAACAGTTGTATCTGTCCCCTCAACAGTTGTATCTGTCACCTCAACAGTTATATCTGTCACCTCAACAGCTGTATCTGTCCCCCTCAACAGTTATATCTGTCACCTCAACAGTTGTATCTGTAACCTCAACAGTTGTATCTGTCACCTCAACAGTTGTATCTGTAACCTCAACAGTTGTATCTGTCCCCTCAACAGTTGTATCTGTCCCCTCATCAGTTGTATCTGTCACCTCAACAGTTGTATCTGTCACCTCAACAGTTGTATCTGTCACCTCAACAGTTGTATCTGTCCCCTCATCAGTTGTACTTGGCTGCGAGCTGACCAATCATCAACCTATTATGACTTGCGGCCTTTGAATGACTCTCCATACAGCGAAAGACGTACATATATAACTTATTTTGATGAGTTTTCACGCTGATGAATAAATGTGAGCGAATTGCATGAGCTTTCACGACGAACATGTGACATAATTTACCTGAGCGTTTAATATAAAATTAAATAATCACAAACGTATTGTATGAAAAGAATATATAATTAAGCAGAATTTAACTAAATCAAAGAAGGCTACTTGTTCTCTAGATTAAAAATATACATTGAGATTTTTTTTTTTTGTCACTCCAGTTGCCTAGTGACAAACAATGTGGATGAATGTATATTCCCCTCCCCTCCCTCGGGGCACTGGCGTGCCATGCACTCCATGGCACCCCTGGGAAGTGCCAGTCTACGGTGCCATAGGGCAAAGCATTTTTGTATCAGCAGATTGATCACGTGCTCCAAGAAGTTGCTAGATCTTGACTGTACACCCACAGGCTGATACATCACGCGTTCCCCCACAAGCTGGCTGATCACACACACCCTTCCAATGTGATAAGTCACGCACCCTACAACCTGATAGATTATGTACTCTCATGAGCTGATAGATCAAATACCCCCCATCCTCTCAAACTGACAGATTACAGACCCCCACAAGCAAATAGATCATGAGCCCCACAGACTGATATATATTACAGACACACCCGCCTACCTGTTAAAACAGACACCCACAAGCTGATAGATCGGGCCACCTCCACAGGCTGATAGATCGCGCCACCTCCACAAGCTGATAGATCGGGCCACCTCCACAAGCCGATAGATCGCGCCACCTCCACAAGCTGATAGATCGCGCCACCCTCACAAGCTAATAGAACACATCCACCACAAGCTAATGGATCACTTACCCGCTGTCTGTGATTAGCACTTGAATTATTTTATTTTGCTTTAGGAGTAAATGTGTTTAGTTTCCATATGTTTGGATTTATAGCGCAGGGTCTTAATCTTTTGATTTAACTGTCTGTCATGGTTGGTCTTTGATGCCAAGCAACACCTTTCACTGCTATAGTGGTGTGTGTGTGTGTGTGTGTGTGTGTGTGTGTGTGTGTGTGTGTGTGTGTGTGTGTGTGTGTGTGTGTGTGTGTGTGTTGAGGCTGCTTTATGAGGGGCGGACTGGTGACCTGGAGCTAATGTTTCCTCAGATATACGGCCCTAAGGAACGCACTCCCTCCTTGAAAGCTTCCTTTAACACCCATAACTAGAGCACCTATGATTTCGGTTCCACCTTAAACAGATGTAACTCAGAAAGAAAACAGACCCCATGGTATTTTCCTCTTGATTCAGCCGACTAAACGTATCAGTATCAATACAGTACCTACGAATAATATTCATATCTTCAACTCTAACGAAGAAAAACAAGGCTAATTCTTCAAGAAAGAGGTAGAAACCCCCCCTTGTGTTTTTCTTTACAGCCCTCAAGACCCAAACGCAAACTTCCTCCCACTGAAGGAGCTGGGAAGTTGGCAAGTCCCAAGTGCTCCATGTGGATTCAAAAAAGTCTATTTTTTTTTTTGGCATTGTATACTAAAGATGAAATGAAAAAAAGTCTTGCGAGTTTTTTATTGTTTGAAGAAAGAAAGAGAGTGGGAGAGAGAGAGAGAGAGAGAGAGAGAGAGAGAGAGAGAGAGAGAGAGAGAGAGAGAGAGAGAGAGAGAGAGAGAGAGAGAGAGAGAGAGAGATTCATGATAATGGCGTGACTGTGGACGATAAATAAACACCCATTTAGATGCACTGAAAGACAGAGAAGGTATAAATAGAAGAGAGGTAGAGTAAGAGAAACAGAGACGAGAACTAAACATATTGTCAGATACAGAAGCAGAGTAGAGAGAGAGACAAAGAGAGAGACAAAGAGAGAGAGATACAGTGTGTATCAATGAACCAAGTATACCTGCTGAAGCACAGAACAGAAAGATGAGTAAAAATAAACATTGCAATAGAACCAGAGAGAGAGAGAGAGAGAGAGAGAGAGAGAAAGAGAGAAAGAGAGAGAGAGGGAGAGGGAGAGAGAGAGAGAGAGAGAGAGAGAGAGAGAGAGAGAGAGAGAGAGAGAGAGAGAGAGAGAGAGAGAGAGAGAGAGAGAGAGAGAGAGAGAGAGAGATACAGTGTGCATCAATGAACCAAGTATACCTGCTGAAGCACAGAACAGAAAGGTGAGTGAGAATAAACATTGCAATAGAACCAGAGAGAGAGAGAGAGAGAGAGAGAGAGGGGAAAGGAGAGAGAGAGAGAGAGAGAGAGAGAGAGAGAGAGAGAGAGAGAGAGAGAGAGAGAGAGAGAGAGAGAGAGAGAGAGAGGGACTGCCCCAGTTATGCTGTTGAAGGGCACACAAGCAGTGCCAGAGAGGCGAGTAGTGGCACTTAGCTTTTACGAAGCAAGTGCTTTAGTGCAGGCACCAACATAGGGAGATGTTAAACTGAATTTAACGTCTTTTGCCTCTTGGCCTCGAGAGTTTAAAGACTATTTATAACCCAAAGAGTGATGTTAATGTGTGTCTAACATTTGTGCAATGTTAATTTCACCGATTAAAAGACTGGCGGTCGACGGATAATGAGTTAAAATACATTAAGCTGCGGAATTAGACTTTAAACTGCTCAATCTATCCCGGAGGTTAAAATCCATTATTTAACGTTAATCTCGTTCACTTAATAATGATCTTCGGTGCCTTGGTTTGGGAGGGATGTAGGCGGACTGGCATCTGCTCAGGTCTGCAATACATTCACTATTGTATTGTGTTCGTGGATCGTCGACGCTTCAAAGCAGTATCCCTGGAAACACAAACCGAAACTGTCTCTATTTTCCGCTTGTTACAACTTGTAATAAAGTTGTTACATCTTGGCTTAACGTGTTTATGACGTATTAGAACGTTGTTACAACTTGCTATATTGGTTGTTATAACTGGTTAGGAGGTGTTCAAACTTGTTCGAACGTTGTACCAACGTCGTAGTTTCGGTGTGTGTTTGGCGGGATTGTACCTTTCCCACCGCCTTTCCGAATCCTCGACTTCCAAGCACCACTTTCCCCTTGAGTCATACACCCACCCACCCCCAACCCACACTGACTTTGAAGAAAAAAACCCACACCCTATTGTCATACACTTTACCAACACTAATTTTTGAGTATTTTTTACCCACCCGCTTCTCTCTGTTCCAGTCATATATTTTTTTAGCACCCCCGCCCCCCCTCCTTCCACCTTCTCCCCCAGTTATATAATTCCTTCCCTCTTCCCCCCACTGATTCTAGAATTTTAATACCCCTAATTCATTTACTTGACCCACAATGACTTTCGTGTTTGTTTACTCGCCCAACCACTTGGGCTGGACGGTAGAGCGATGGTCTCAATTCATGCAGGCCGGCGTTCAATCCCCGACCGTTTAAATGATTGGGCATTATTTATCCAACCAAACCCCCCAATCCAATCCCAAATCCTTATCCTGACCTAGTTCCCTTCCCTACCCATCCCCTATTCTTCTTCCAGTTTTACACTTAACTCCTTTCTTCCCCCCCTCCCCCTTCATCCCCTCTTTTTTCCAAGTAAGACACTCTCCTTTACCCCCCTCTCCTGCTTCGTAGATTTTCCTCTATATTTCTCCGCTATTTCTACCACATTGACAACCGTCTCACTGTTCCACATAATTTATTCCATATGCACAAACCTCATTATCCTGTTCCATCGACCTGTCAACATCTTCCACGCGTACTGTCCACTTTTTTTTTCTTCACATTACCATATAGTCCTCAGGTCTTTTCCTCATCTTTTTCATCATTTCTACAGCCCTTTCACCTTTTGCAAATATTCCTTTTATATTTTCCACAACCTCTCCACCTTCCCTGCACCTCTTTCCACCTTCCTATCGCCTTTCTTCTTCGTAGTCAACTTGCATGATTTTCCAATTTTTTTATATGATCTTTACTTCCTTCCCACAGCTTTTTTATTAAGGCTTTCCTCCTTACCCACACCCTTTTATGCAACTTTGCCTCCCTTCCCACACCCTACGACCTTTCCTCCTTACCCACACCCTTTTATGCAACTTTGCCTCCCTTCCCACACCCTACGACCTTTCCTCCTCCCACACACATCCTTTTATACGGCCTTTCCACCCTTCCTACAGCCTTTCCACCGTAAGTTGGGCCATTATCATGTGTGAGATGTAATGCGACACGGTAAGCATAACTCCTGAAGTGTTTATAGCTGAAGTTTTTGTTTATGTCTAAGTCTCTATTGTTGCTTGTCACGATAGATGGTTACTGTTGTTGTGTGTGTGTGTGTGTATACTGGTTGTGCTTGCGGGGGTTGAGCTCTGGCTCTTTGGTCCCGCCTCTCAACTGTCAATCTACTGGTGTGCAGATTCTTGACCCTACTGGGCTCTATCATATCTACATTTGAAACTGTGTATGGAGTCAGCCTCCACCACATCACTGCCTAATGCATTCCATCTGTTATCTATTCTGACACTGAAAACGTTCGTTCTAATGTCTCTGTGGCTCATTTGGGTACTCAGCTTCTACCTGTGTCCCCTTGTTCGTGTACCACCCCGTGTTAAATAATCCAACCTTATCTACTCTGTCAATTTCCCTGATGTTTTTGTATGTGGTGATCATGTCTCCTCGGGCTCTTCTGTTTTCCAGTGACGTGAGGAGTAGTTCACGCAGCCTTTCCTCATAATTCAGGCCTTTTAGCTCTGGGACTAGCTTAGTGGCATACCTCTGAACTTTTTCCAACTTCGTCTTGTGCTTTACAAGATACGAGCTCCATGCTGGGGCCGCATACTCTAGGATTGGTCTTATATTTATGGTTTCAAGGTTCTGAAAGATTCCTTACACTGGTTTCTGAAGGCAGTTCTGTGTGTGTGTGTGTGTGTGTGTGTGTGTGTGTGTGTGTGTGTGTGTGTGTGTGTGTGTGTGTGTGTGTGCGTGTGCGTGTGTGTGTGACGGGTGTTTGTGTGTTACGAAGTCTGTGAAGATATTTTGGCCTAATTTTTTATCGCTTTTGTGTGTATATGTATGGACGGTGTGGGTGTTTGTATGAGTGTATGCGTCTTTATGTATGTGTGTTCTTGCTTTCATATATGTATACTTACACACATACATAATACATACATAACATTCATGACTGAATCCATATGTACATTTGTCTATAAATTCAATTCTTACAATCTTACATGTATGCACACACATATATATATATTAAACGACCTAATTACTAAATGATCCTAATAAATGGCATCATTAAAATTAATCATTAACCCGCTTCCTAATTAAATCACCTTCGAATTAAACCATCTCATTAAAGGAACTTAAGGGGGACATTTTTATGTCCGGGGTTACCTTAATCTAACCTCCTTCCTTATAACTCTTGCCTTTTCCTTTGCGTCTCCTTCTTCTCTACTTCCTTCATCTCTCCTTCAGTCTCCTCTCTACTTCCTTCATCTCTCCTTCAGTCTCCTCTCTACATCCCTCTTCTCTTCCTCCCTTCCTCTACTCATGCCACTTCTCACTCAACTACCTGCTTGTTTCCCCTCTAACAAATCCTCCACCTCTCCTCCTCATCAACTTCTCTTCATCAACTTCTCCTCGTCATCTACTAATCCTTCTCCTTCTTCTTTTCGTCCTCTTCTCTTTTTCTGTTACCTATTTTCCTATTAGTACCTACCTTTCTGATTTCTCATGGAAAAACAACTCTTTCTGCTCCCTTATGGTTCCTCCTCCCTTTTCTCCTCTTCCGCTACCTTCTTTTCCTCCTCCTGCCCCTCCTCCTCTTCCTTATCTCTCTTATCTTCCTCCTGTCCTTCCTACAGGTGCTGGCGGGAACTTAACGTCTCTTCCTGCCTCGTATTCAATCTGATCAGTGACCGCGTGGAGAAGGAGGAGTTGGAACAATGGGAGAGAAGAAGAGGGAGTTAAGTTATTGGGAGGGAAGAGGGGAAGGAATATAGCAAGAGGCGGAGAGAGGAGGGAAGTGGGCCATTTACCAAGAGGGTTACTCTGGCTCCTTTAATGTGAGGGCCGTAGATGTGGTATTACTGAGTTTCCTCTCTCTCTCTCTCTCTCTCTCTCTCTCTCTCTCTCTCTCTCTCTCTCTCTCTCTCTCTCTCTCTCTCTCTCTCTCTCTCTCTCTCTCTCTCTCTCTCTCTCTCGCACATTATTGAACTTAATGGTGAAAGTAAGTTTTTACTATGAAATCTCTTCTTCCTCCCCCCCCCCCTCTTTTCTTCCTACCCACCTGTTCTCCTCCTTCTCTATTCCTCTCCTCTCTTCCAACTCTCCCCTTCCCTCTTCCAACCCTCCCCTTCCTTCTCTTCCTTTCAATCTTTTCCACGTTACCATATAATCCAGATTCAAGAGGCCAATTTTCCTCTTAGAGGAAAATTTCCTCTCTGTCGTAAGCAAAACACAAATTCTCCTCCACAGCATCAATACAAAACCTAGTATTTGCGTTCCTGTAACACTGAAACTTGAGTTCTGTGTCCCAGTCATGTTCTCGTG